AAGGCTAAAACCTGTTTTATATCAGTATTGGCAGATCCAAAAGGTTGAACATTACTGATTAAATTACTATATGCTTTCTTTTCACTCAATCTGTCAAGTTTTCTCCTGGCGGTTTTATTATAAAATATTTAATGAAATGCTACTTCTATTTGGACTAAAATGTCACAAATCGGTTTTTGAGTATCCACTTCTTGTTGATGTTGGAATATTTTTTATTATAACTAAAGAATGTTCTTTTTCCACTGATACCTAATAAAACTAATGAATTTAATTATTTTATACTTCCCAATGATGATAAGTATATGAGCAATCTGTGGCAATCTGATTAATCTCGTAAAAATTCAAAAGCACAACACTATTCATTTTCTTTGTATCATTTCATCTATTGCTACTTTAATTTTTTAATAACATGTGTACCATAAACAGATGTGGTTAAATGACAGGTCTGTGTACCCAAAACTGACATTGACAGTGCAGTCCTATTCTTGCTCAGAAATGTGTCATACTTTGTTCAAAAATTTATATCAACAAATAAGGGAAAAAGTGATTACATACAATGGATGTTAGTATCCATACTTTGGATACATGAGCCATGGTGACACAGTGGTTAGAGTGTAATACTGTAGACTACTTCTGCTGACTGTTGGCTGCCAGCAGTTTGGCAGTTCAATTCTCACCGGCTCAAGATTCTCAGCCTTCCATCTGTCAATGCTGCTAACATTGGATGTTCCTGCTCTGACAACTGATGAAAATGCAGCCATTTTCTCTATTCCTTTAACATGTTTTTTCTTGCTTTTAGAAATCAGGGAGGGTTGGGATATAAGCTCAGCTAGCCATAATAATGATGCTGCTGTGGGAACCCAAGGACAAGCTGCTAACGTTTTGGCAGGCTAAGGAGCTGAGGAGAAAGCCCATGCTTTAAGCTAATTGGGGAATCTGCTTTATGACAGTTTATTGGGGGTGTGAATTGTACTTTGTTACTTTGTATCTGGGGAAAGGGAATTTAGTTTTTGGGTTCAACTATGTAGTGCCGATACTTTGTTTCCCAAATAAAATGTTCTTTAAGGAAGAATTTTGCCTCGAAGTTCTTTTGATGGGTTTCATCTATCAGAACCATGACACCATCCTTCCAAGGTCAGTAAAATGAGGACCCAGATTGTTGGGGGCAATATGCTGTAAGCCTCTTAGAGAGGGCTGTAAAGCACTGTGAAATGGTATATAAGTCTAAGTGCTATTGCTATTGCTGCATACTATCCAAAAAGGACAGTGAAAAGCAAAATATGTCATGTGGTTTTCCATCACTGGAGGTTTTCAAGAAGAAACTGGACAGCCATTTGCTGAAATGGTATAGGGTTTCCTGCTTGAGCAGAGGATTGGACTAGAAGACTTCCAAGGTCCCTTTCAACACTGTTATTATGTTTTAATATCTGTAGTTAGCTAGGCTGCTTCAGTCTTGGAGATGCTGTGAATTAAGAGCCACATTATGAGAAAGATCTCAGGACAGTGAGCCTGAATATTATTCTGCTAGTGGCACAAATGATGTAATTCACAATAGTGCATTTATCTTCTTTTACATGGTGAGGTCGTGGTGTAAATGGCATCATTATAGATGATTGATTAGATGATGCCACACACACTATTATCAAAATAGATGGTAGATAAGACGAATAGTGGAATAAAATAAGGTGTGTTCAAAGAAGCAAGAATCACAGGCAATTACTACTGCTACTACTACTACTAATACTGCTGCTATTACTACTACTACTACTACCACTAATAATAATAATAATAATAATAATAATAATAATAATAATAATAATACTTCCAGTGGTGTAGCGCGGGTGATGGCGGCTACTTTGTAGCCGTCCTCCTGAGACAGCATTAAAACCACTGAGAACAGCAGGCATCAGCTGTTCCGCGGTTTGAAACCTCCTTCCCGGGCCAAGGGAGGGAGGGGAGTTTCACCCTGAATAGTGGTTGAGCCTTTGAGATCCCCAAAGGAGTTTCTTTTGGGGTGAAAGGAGTGCTCCCACAGAGTTCAGTGTGTCTCTGCTTCTCAGGTGCCTTTGTCCCTTGTTGTTTGGGACAAAGCAAGACGCCGCTCCCACCTCCGCGCTTAAAGAGAACTGGTGAGTTATTTAAAAAGCAGACAGAGCTGATTAGAGGATTTTATTTTTTGATTTTACTTGGATTTTAAGTTTGGATTTCAAGTATAAAGAGTTACTTTCGTTTTCCTTTTTTTTTCCTTTGTTGAGAGGGAAAGTAAAATGGCAATTTGAAGTTTTTTCTTTTAAGGAGACGGAATGGATTTGTCTATTTAATTTTTTTTCTTTTTCTATTTCTCTTTTTCTTATTACAATGATTTTTTTTGAAGGAGGATTTGGGTTTTTTGAGTTAATCTCCCTCTCTTTTGTTTAACTCTTTTTTTCTTTTCTTTTTTTGTATTTTTTAAGAAGGAGGAAAGAGGAAAATATTTTTTTTTCTTTTAAGATGGCTTCAAAACGCCCAGTAATTTCTACAATTCCTAAGGTGGTTTCTTCTTCGGTGATATTAACAGTGCAACAACCTAAATCAACATTATTACCCTCTTCTTCTGTACAGTCACTAATGGTAAAAGATTTGCAAGATGTAATGGGAAATGCTATATCTCAAATTAGGGGAGAAGTGAAAGAGATTTTAGTGGAAAATAACAGGATCTTGAGGCAAGATATAGTTTTGGCTTTAAAAGGACTTGCCTCTGTTGTTGAAAAGTTGGATTTTCGTGTTGAAGAAGTTGCAGATAAAGTGGAGGTGTTGGAGGGAAAATTTGATGGCATGGAAAAAAAGATGAAAATTTTCAAGATGAGATTCTTATGTTTCAATACAGAGAGATGGAATTCGCTTTAAGAATCAGAGGCTTGAGTGAACATCTGCAAGGAGATCTGAGAGAGATGGTTGCAAATGATTTTGCTGTGATTTTGGACAGAGAAAAAGAGGAAATACTCAGAGAAATTGAAAAAATATTTAGAGTTAACTCTTGGGTTGCAAAGCAAAGAAATCTGCCAAGAGATGTGGTAATTTACTTTGGAAAAAGATCCCTACACAATGAAATTATACAAGTTTTTTATAATAAGAGGTTTCAGATTGCAGCACAAGATGTTATAATTTTAAAGGAGATTCCATCTAAAATTTTAAGAAGAAGAAAGGAGTTTGCTTTTTTAGCAGATGAACTTAAAAAGAGGCAGATGCCGTTCAGATGGGACATCCCGATTGGAATAGTGGTGAGCTATGCGGGGACACGTTATAGACTTAATACTGTTTTTAAAGCAAAGGAGTTTTATACTTCGGTCCTGGGAGCATGCTCATCGTCACCTCTGACGTTTAAAGTCTTGGAAGAGAAGAAGGTAGAATTGCAGCCTGAAGAAGCTGTATTGATGAAAGTTGGAAAATCACAGACTGAGGGGTCTCAACAAGTGGAGATGAAGGTTATTTATAGTCCATTGCGGATGGAACTGGTCATTGGAAAAGGGGAGAGAAGATTATGGAGAATGAAAACTTTAGATAAGAAGTGTATGTTTAGAAATTCAACGAGCATTTAAAGGAATGTTTTGTTTTAAATATGTATAAGGGAATTTCAATGGTACAATTAATGTTTATATGTGTATTTTGGATTGTGATGACAAAGAAAGAGGGATAAATTTTATATAATATATGTATGATATTAGGGAGATTGAATGAAAATTTTAGATAAATAGTGCATGTTTAGAAACTTAAGGAGCATTTAAAGGAATATTTTGTTTTAAATACGTATAAGGGAGTTTTAATGGTACAAACAATGTTTATATGTGTGTTTTTGATGGTGATAATAAAGAAAGATGGATAAACTTTATATAATATAGGTATGATAATAGAAAATATTGTTTAGCTTTTTGAATAATTTATATTTAAAGTTTATAATATTTTAATGGTGGATTAGATTCTAACTAATTCACTTTATATGCAATATGATATTTTGTAATGTTATTAACTTAGAGAGATGATTGGTTTATTAATTGTGAAAGAAACGGAAGTTTTGAATTATAGATATGGATAAATTTTATTCAATATAAGTATGATATAAGAGAATACCATCTAGCTTTTGAATAATTTACATTTAATTTTCCTCTTTATGTTCTTTATATATAATGGAGTTAAAGTATTTTACAATTTGTTTATTGATTGTAACTATATTTGTTTAAGGTTTATTTGGGTTTAAAAATTTTTTTTTTCTTTCTTTTTCTTTTTTTTCTTTTAAGTTCTAGTTAAGCCTGTATTCACCTCTGGGAAGATTGGGCAAGGGTTTTGGGGTGGGTTGGGAGGTACTGGGGAAAGGGATTTTACTGTAAAAATTTTAAAAATTTTCAATAATAATAATAATAATAATAATGATGTTGGAAGGGACTTCCTGCTCAGGCAGGAAACCCTATACCATTTCAGACAAATGGTTGTCCAGTCTCTTCTTAAAAACTTCCAGTGTTGGAGCATTCACAACTTCTGGAGTCAGGTTCCACTGTTTAATTGTTCTAACTGTCAGGAAATTTCTCCTTAGTTCTAGATTGCTTCTCTCTTTGATTGTTGATTTGATTTGATTGAATAAGATGGTTTTTATGACACTCTTAGTATGGAATCTTGAGGATTTGGATACTGCAAGCTCTCATTTATTAGCAAGTTTATTAAACTGGTGTCTCTTTGAATATTGTGAACCTTATCTTGCCAGGATTTTTGCAATCCTGGATTGAATTCCTTTTTTATTAAATAATTTTCTAACAGTTCCTATCTTTTAGTTGCTTATTCCTAATATTTCTCCCAGTACTTCCCCAGCCTCTACACATTCTTTAATAGATGTGAATCATATTTGCCATGATCATTTCCTGCAAGAAAAAAAGATATTTAGGATCCCTATGATGTGCTAATTACTTTTTTCCAAAAATAGAATCAAAGTTTTCTTTGATTTATTTCTTTCCCTTTTCTTTCTTTCCTAGGCTCTGTGGCCACGGCATGTCGAGATCCAGGCGTCCCCATGAATGGAACCCGTAACGGAGATGGAAGAGAACCTGGGGACATGGTGCTATTTCAATGTGATCCTGGCTATGAGCTGCAAGGAGATGAGCGAATAACCTGCATTCAGGTAGAAAATCGGTACTTCTGGCAGCCCAACCCACCAGTCTGTATAGGTATGCAGAAACCTAAAGAAGACACAACTGCTTTTCTGAACTCTGGAAACATGTAATAATCCTTATTACATTGTCATAAAGCCCAAAGTCAGCAGCCAATAGTTGGCAGCTTTGTATTAAATATAAATGGAAGGACAGCCCACTTGGTTTGGGTAGGCAATATTCTATATTTAAAAAAATATTTAAAAAATATTTATAAGAGAAAGGAAGGGAGAACAGCACTTAAAACCGCTTAATGAATGCTGAATATAGTTAGCTTCATTTATAAGAACCCCACAAATTGGGTTACTATGGTTTCCTGTATTGGAAAATTGTTCTTCATTGTTTTCACTTCTTTACTTCCTAAATAGGAGATTGTTTGGGTTCTGTGGGATAAAGAGTTTCTATCACCTATGATGAATAGTAAGCATAATGAAAAAGTTCTGGTTCTGTTGGATTGCTTTAAAGCATTGTACTCTTACAAGAAAAATTGAAATACATTTTTTTAAAAAATAAATGAAATAAAACATCTCCCAGATTTTTCTTTGTGTTTGGTCTGCTTTGACAGACTTCTTCCCTGTTGTTTCCCAGCAAATTGATTATCTATCTATCTATCTATCTATCTATCTATCTATCTATCTATCTATCTATCTATCTATCTATCTATCAATCATCTAAATTGACAGTGTTCACTTTTGTTGAGATACTTTTTTATTCTATTTTTTTCTTTTTTTCCCAAATTCTATTTCATATATAGCTTTAATATTAAATTTGTTTGTGGTAATAAAAATTCACAGAAAATTATTGACTAAGTTTTAAACAAAACTATGACAGTTATTTTTAGGAATTTTAATATTTGTTTTAGTAGAATTAATTAGTTGGAGAATGTTTTTGGATGTTACAAAACGTTAAACAGGTTTGTTTTCTGCAAAAATGGGAAAAATATAATAACTCAGATGTATATGTTAGCATGTGTTTAAATAACAACATTGGACAAAGACTTTAACTGTAGAAAAATATTAAACAAAAATTGCTAAGTTTAAAAAGGAGAAGAAGAAATCCATATAATTATTTAATTGGTGATAATTAAAATGTATGAGTACTTGAGTGTTTTAAGATGCTTTTAATGCCTAGTTGGTTCTCATCTGCATCAGAAATAGTTTCTTAGTGTATGTTTGCATCATTGTTTTTAATTGTTATTTAAAAATCTTACTAAATTTTGAGATAAACATGAACACTTAATGTAACTGTAAAGTCCATTAGGGAAAATCAAAATGATACAAAAGAGAGTGGTTGTTTTTTATTGTGATTTTTTTTTGAAATAAATCAGCAGAAATTGAGGCATTAATCATATGAACTTTGTGCCAAAACAAAATTCATTTTAAATGCAAATAACAAGTATATATATATATATATATATATATATATATATATATATATATATTTGTGTGTGTATGTGTATGTGTATGTGTGTGTATGTATGTATGTATGTATATATATATATATATATATATGTGTGTGTGTGTGTGTGTGTGTGTGTGTGTGTGTGTGTGTGTGTGTTTTCTGAGGTTTTCGCGGGTGTTTGTATGTAGGTCTTTGGTTGTTCGGGTTTTCTCCCGCGTAAAATTGGAAGTGTCTTGGCGACGTTTCGACGAAGTCCCATTCGTCATCTTCAGGCTGGTGTTTTCAGCTTCGTGCTTCGAGCAGCAATGTGTGGTCTTAGCTGTTTCTTCCTTTTAACTGCCAGTGGGGGTATGAACTGATTGGGTGGGAGCTTGGCTGTGTTCTGATTGGGTGGAGGTGTGTTCTGATTGGTTAGGGGCTTGGCTGTGCTCTGATTGGCTGGGGGGGGGGCTGTGCTCTGATTGGCTGGGGGAGTGTTCTGTTTGGTTGTGCTCAGTTAGTCTGAGTTGCAGAGGGATTTAAGATTTTGTGCTGCCTTGCTATTTTTTGGCTTCGCGTTCATGGTCGTGCTTCCTCTTCATGGAGGGTGTCAGTTTGCTTCATGTATGGATTGGAGGGGTTTAAAGTGGCTAATGATGCAGCTGTGGTCTGGCTTCTGGTTTGTGGTCGTGCCTCATCATCGGTGTGGCTTTGGGTTTGTTTTTTGCATGGATGTGTGGTGGTGACATCCTGTGTGGTTTTTGTGAGTGTGGGTCTGGTATCATTTTTTGTGTTAGGGAGTCGTTTGTCAATAAGGGCGGGTTTCCAAATGGCTGGTAGGCGGGAGGTATCATCTCGCTTGTTCATGCTGTGTGGGCGTTTTTCTATCTCGATGGCTTCTCTGATTATTCTGTTATTAAAATGTTCACTTTTGGCAATGGTTCTGGTATTTTTAAAGTCAATTTCATGTCCTGTGGCTTTAAGGTGTTGGACCAGGGAAGATGTTGGTTCCTCTTTTTTGACTGAGTTCTTATGTTCTTCAATGCGTGCACTTATTCTTCTGTTGGTTTGTCCGATGTATGTGGTGGGACAAGTGGTGCATGGGATTTCGTATACTCCTTGATTTTCTAATTCAATTTTATCTTTGGGGTTTCTAAGGATGGTGGATATTTTTCTGTTTGTGCAGAATGCTGTTTTGATGTTGTGTTTATGGAGGATCTTACTGATTCTGTCTGTGGTGCCTTTTATGTATGGGAGGAGGGCTTTGCCGTTTTCTTGTTCTTTGTCTTGGATTTTAGTGGGGGTTTCTTTTTGGATTAGGTTTGTAATCTTATTTCTATGGAATCCATTGGATGTTAGTACATTGGTGAGAGTGTGTAGTTCGGGTTTTAGGTGTTGTTCGTCAGCTAAGCGTTTTGTTCTGGAGATGAGTGTCTTGGCTACAGAGTTGATCTGTGCTGGGTGGTGGTGTGAGAGAGCGTGCAGATAGCGGTTTGTGTGTGTTTTCTTCTGGTAGATGGTGTGTCCTAGGGAGCCATTGGATTTCTTGTAGACTAAGACATCCAGGAAGGGAAGTTGGTTGTTAGTTTCTGTTTCCATGGTGAACTGTATTTTGGGGTGTAGGCTGTTGAGGTGTGTGAGGAAGTTGTCCAGTTTTTCTTTCCCATGTGGCCAGATTATGAAGGTGTCGTCTACGTATCTGAGCCAGAGTTTGGGTTTGTGATCCGATTTTTCTAGAGCTTGGGTTTCAAAGTGTTCCATGTAGAGGTTGGCAATGACATGTGAGAGGGGTGATCCCATGGGTGCTTCTTCTGTTTGTTTGTATTTTTGTCCATTATAGATGAAGTATGTGTTGGAAAGGCAGTGGTTGGTCAGATCTAAGATTTGTTTGGGGGGGTTATATTATATATATATATTCAGAAAGAAAGGAAGAATTAAACTATATGTCTTTCCCAAGTGGTTATCATTATAATAAGAACATGTTTTAGGTCAGTATGTATCAAGACTCATTTTTTTTAGTATAAGAGTAATCAATTAATTTGTGCACCCAAGTTGACAAATTTGTAATTATATTCACAGTTAGCAATATAACATTAAGATCAGCAATGGAGGATAGAAAATTAGATCATTTCACATTCTATCTCCCATCCTTGTGTTGAAAAAACAAAATGGAAATGGGTACCATTGTTAATAGAGGGCCTTGTTCGTCTGTGCTTCTGGAGCTCACTCAGTGGTTATTACCACAGTAATTCTTTCACTACTTCAGAAGCCCCTCTGTTCTCCATCTGCAGTATATCTAATATCCTAGTAACTGCTGTAAACTTTTGTTCAACAACTAGTCCTTCTTCAAGGTTGTGAAGACAATATCAGCTTAGCTGGAATAATACAAATCCTGGCTACCAAAGAATCATTCCAGAGTAGGTAAAAACAAAACAAACCATAACCATTCAGACATCTGAAAGGGAACCAAAATTTGGCAACACAGATGTAGAAGGTTAATGAACAGATTTGAATAAGGAATAGACCTAAGAAAGTATGGAAATGATCCATTTCCTGCCTCATGAATCCTACTTAAAATGGCTGCTAAAGGACTTTTTTATTCTTGCCAACTACCGAATAAACCAATTAATCTGCTAAGTCGTATCACTGAACAATAGAAAAATACAATTCAGTAATCACTCATAACAACTAGAATCCTGAGGTACAATTTTAATTTAATAGATTTTTTTTATCTATCAAATTTATATGGCTTTCCATCTTTCCAAGAAACTCATGGCAGTAAAACAAAGCAGAAAGAAATAATTTTATTATTACATAACAGGAAGCCAAAAATGATGATTTGCAAACTGTAATAGCTGAGAATATGCAGTGTGTTAATACGTATGATGGCTTATTATGGCACACAAATTTACTTCAGATTTGCTTTGTTCTGTTTAGAAAGGAAGAATATGTAAGAAATTTTGTTTGGGAATAATTTTACCCAGCAAATTTATTTCTTGTTGCAGAGAATGCCAATCAACCTTGATCAGGTAGTTTTATATAGATTTGTAAAAAAATATCTCTCTTCCTTTGACTTCTTGATGCAAAGAAGCTTCCAGGGCTAGTAGAATTGATTCCCATTAACTTTCTTCACTTTGTAAAAGCTTAAAGACAGCATAAAGCTAAACATTTTTAATCAAACAGCATGTATTATTCTAAGCCTCTGAGTCCTGTGCAAGGCAATTTATGTTAAGGAAAATAAAAAGAGTCAGAAGAGTGTGGCACTTGCAAGGGGATTCAACTGAAGGCAAAAATTATGACAGAAAAATTGCAGGTTTATTACCTAAGCCCTTCTGTATGAGCATTGTAATGTTACACTCTCACTGTTGAGTATTGTTTTCTTCCTTGTGATAAAAACAGAAAACTCATTTGGATGCTACTGCATCAAGAACGTCTTGGCTCAGACATAACTTGTGATGGCATAGATTTTTTTTTTAGCTTTTCTTAAACTCATATTTTGCTCAAAGTATCCATAAAATCAATATTTTGGGCTAATTCCCATACAAAATGCCTTATGAGTTTACATCAATCTTAAAATGATTTGATTGGAGTTATAATTAGGGTGATTTAATTGCAGTTGACTTGTCATGTTAATTGTATATATTATATGAGTTATTTCCTTTGATCACAAATCACTAGTTTATGCTTTTTTGATATCATTATGCTCCCATAATATTAACTTTTGTTAACATTCAAAGGAGCACAATGTGATGCATCCTTTTTTTATATAAATTTCTTGAATGATCAGGAATTGTCCAAACAAGGAAGGAAACAGCCAAACATTTTGCTGTCTTTTGTTGGTGAAACATTCGATGAAAATTGTTCTATTTCCATGGAACAGTCCTCCACATCTTACCAGAAATCTCTGGGGGAAAAATCACCACTAAAATCTATAACCCAATATATCATAACTACATTATGTTACATTTAACTTGTGTTAGTAAAATAGTTAATTACCCAGTGCATTACCTGCTTTTTATTATGACTTGTTTCTAATTAACCTAACAATTCAAGAACTTAATATTACAGAATATTTTAAAATATGGTTGACTTTCTAAGGTTAACTTTCCTGAATGGACTTTGTGTTAGAGAGGTTCTATCACATTAGAGCATGGATGTCAAACTGGCCATGTCACATGATGTGTCACAACGTATCGCGACTCTTTTTGCATTGCCGGCAATGGGGTGGGCGCAGTTTCGGTATGATGAAACTGGCCCGCGGGCCAACAATTTGATAGCCCTGCATTAGAGTTACAATATGCTTTTAACAGCAGTTTTTAAAGTCTTTAAACACAAACCAAAAATACTTTACTCTGGGAAGAGAAACCTAGGACTTAGGAGTGTAATCTTTTGCATATCTACTCAGAATTAAACCTTGTTTAAATCAGATTTCTCAGTAAGTGTGAAAGGCTGTAATTGCCAAAGGCTGGAGTGTATGGGCATCTGTTCCTAAACACAATAGGAACATGTGTATTGAGTTCACAATGCAAACACCATTTAACATACTTTGATCACAATATTGCATATACAGTAAGTATATACAGGTCTGAATTTGCACTGTGGCATCATAACCTACATTTGTAACTTTTGCTATATCTAACTATGTCTATGATGTAATCTATGATTATTATTGTTACACAAACAACATGTAAAATCACAATTGCCAGATCTTCAGCAAGGGTTGGCCTTCATATGTGTCATGTTTTTCCCAATAATTTAGGACATCATAATATGTCAATATCTGCATAGAGCCAAGTAGTGTCACCTTTTATAATTGACCAATGGAAATTTTGTCAGTTGTTGCTATTTTTGTCAATTATTGCTACTGTAGCACATTTTTCTAGATAGATGGTGTTAAAGATATTGTCACAGGATGTAAGCTGTTACAGGAAGAGCTGCACTTAACCATTGCCAGGTCTTATTGTTATCTGCTTGACCTGCACATATACTCTGTCTTGCCAGATCCCTTTTCTAGTCTTAATTAACTTTATTGTAAATGAGTTTGGTTTCACCCTTATTCAGTAAGTCTTCACTGTGTAATATTTTCTGTACATTTTCTTCACTGTCCTTCAGATATTTCTCCCACTGGCTTTGGATTTTAAGCTCTTCTTCATTGTCATGATGTGTTCACTTCTAATTTTTTTCTTGACTTCAGTGCCCTTGATTTTTTTCAACTTGAAGGATACCCAGCTACTTTTAGTGATAATTTTCATCCAGACTCTTGATGTTATTTCCATAGGCATCTTGATTCATTCAGTTTTCTCTATTTTTCCTCTACTGATAATGAGTGTAGCACATTGTCCAGTTCAAATTCCATTGTAATATCTTGGCTCTATATACATAGAGTGTTTAATAGCAATTCTGTTTCAGATAGTATTTTTCCATTAAGCTTCAGGTTATGCATGTAAAGGAGATGAGATAACCTGGCAGATGTTTTTGATATTTAATAATTTGACTTGTTCAGTATTGTTGACAAAGGAATCAGTGCAATAACAAACATGATTGATGATGATGAGTCGCCTTGAAGATTCCTCTCTTGATATTAAACTCTGCTAGTCTATAAACATTGGATTATAAACTGTGTCTTCCTTTTGTAATTATAAAAGTAAATAAATATTTACATAAATCATGTTATCATAAATGAGCTCCCCTCTGGCAAATCCATTGCCAAACTAAGCAAATAAAAATAATTTCAAATGTGAATTATTCCTAGATCCATTTATTTATACAATTGATAAGAAAAATGTAGAGGATAAAACATATATAGAAGAATATTAAAAAATCAAGAGAAACATACAAATCTAATGTTGCATTAGAAAAACATTTATGTTGTCAAAATTTGTTGCAAGTACAGCTTCCAGGAGTTTTAGTTATATAAGAAAATTATGTTAGTGATAAACTCTGCCTTAATATGCAATGTCATTTTCATATGTTTGCTGTCAAATGTACTTTTTTACATCTTGTTCCTAACCTATCTTTTTTATATATCCATTATTAAATGCTGGTTCTCTTTATATGTTTCAATATTCACATGGTATATTCAGAGTAGCACTTTCCAAATACAAGTTAAGGCAACAGAAAAGTAGCTGAAAAGCCTGAATGTATCCTTAAGAGGTGACTCCCTTTCTGTTTCTTTGACCAGAATTAATTTAGAGGTACTGCAAAATAGAATAAATTAGCTTGTTTCATTGTACAACCCAAAGATAATGTTTGTTTGTTTATTTGTTTTCACTTTGCTTATTGCTTATACTGTGGGATGCAATTCTCTTTTTTACATTCTTTGTTTAATTCATTCACAGCACCTTGTGGAGGCAATCTGACAGGATCATCGGGTTTCATTCTTTCACCAAATTTCCCACATCCCTATCCCCATAGCAGAGACTGCGACTGGACTATTACTGTTAATAATGACTATGTAATATCATTAGCTTTTATCAGGTAAGTAGCTGCTTACTAAAATTTCAATAATATACTTTTTCCAGATCTCTTTGTTTTGTTTTTCCCAAATGTGCTTTTTCAAAAGGCAACTGGGCTTTCTTCAGTTTTCCTTGAAGAGGTTTCACTTCTCATCCAAGAATTCTAGAACTAAAGAAGCTTCTTGATGAGAAGCAAAATATCTTCAAGTAAAAACAAAGAAAGTCCAGTTGCCTTTTGAAAAAGCATCTTTGGGGCAACCATTGCCTGGATGACTGAGTATCTCCACAGACATCTGTTTTGTTTTGTTTTTTTCAGCATGATAAGATAACTGCTTTTCAGATCCAAGCACTTTTAGTTTCCAGAGTAACACATTTAATAAGGTTATCAGAAAAATTTTATCTCAGTTGTTATGAGATGCAGCTATTGAGATATTTGTTTGAAAAATTGAGGATTATACATTAAGACTCTTTTGACTTCAATACTCAGAGAATGATTGTATCATCATATTTAATTTCTACCCTGTTTGTTTGTCAACTATTACTAGGCAGCCTACAAAATTCATTGATAGCAATAAATCTAAGCTTCAAAATTAAAGCTTTTTTGCTGTTCTTTATATCCTGGTATAAATATTTATTGTTCCATCAATACTAAATATCTATAGCAAGGCAAAAATGAATAGCCTAGAATACAACCAAATCAACTGGGAAAAAGTATTTGTTTTATTTATTTGTTTACTTAAACATTATTTCATTGTTTATTATATTTCTTGGCTGCCCTTTAGTTTAAATTCCCTGAGAATATCCAATTAAAAGAATAAGGCAATACAATTAATGTGCCCAGAAATAGTGCAGGGAATGAATTATGCCAATCAATAAAAGCGAGCCAAGCCATAATAATAATAAAAAAGAATTGAACAGCTATTATGAGAATGTTAGGTATCTTGGGAAAATATTTATACCTAGAAGATGCCAAAACTGACGCTTGATGACTTGCCTGTCTAGAGAATTTAGGACATTTTATATGCGGGATACTACTTGTAAATATATTATTTTGTTGTTTCGCTGAAGACTTGGGAGAATTTGAAAGATTTAGATCTAAGACTGTTAGAAGCGTGGCAAAAGGCACTCATTTGTTTTCCAGAAGTTCCTTAATTATAACATGAATTTAGAAGACATCTATCTGCCTGTTTAGTCTATGAAGATGTAGCACATAGAAAAATGTATTTAATGAACAATATTCTACAAAGGAATAGACAGGTGGTGATTTCCCCTTCATTAAATTAATTTAATGTGGTTCCTACACTGATTTGGAATCCTTCTCCTAACCATATGGATTTATGTATTCTGTTTTCTACTATTAGGCAAGTGTAATGAGCAAAGGAATCAAGGTTAATGTCTCCTTTTTAAAATAAATTTTATTAGTTTTAATAGGGTTGGGGATAAAATGGGGTCAGGATTAGGACTGAGGTTTGGGTTATGGTTGGAGTTGGGGTTGGGGTTCGGGTTTTTCCAGGTAACATTTTCAATATTTAGCAAACAGTATATTGTCTGGGTACATGTATTTAACTAACAATAATAAATATAGTTAATTATCATAAACAAGGTTAATGTCTCCTTTACTTATACTATAATATTGACACAATAAATATAGTTTCCCTTCCTTCTAAGAAATTATAGTGTCAACTGATAAATTTGAAAGAAGAACCTAGCCTAAAACAGAAGCATTAAATGAAATAAAATCAATCACCTAGTTATTCAGTGCTACCCTTCTTGTGGGAGGCAAAACAGGATTACTTTAATACTATAAATGGAATTAGGATTAAGAGGATTTTTGTTTCTTTGCATTGTTGTTATTATTTAAGAATGTTGTTTGATAAAATTATCCCTTTTCTTTTATATTAACAACAACAACAACCACTTTGTTGTCATTTTGAATGTACACCTATCGGCATGCATCAAAATGAAATTTCATTGCATACAACTCTCAAAGGGTCATCACCTCCGATATACACATCTTGTTTGTGGCCAGCTCAAGTTACAGATCTTCCATTTTAGTCTTTAGGGAGTGAATGATGGCAAACAGGACAGATGAAATGGAGCTCCACTGGATTAGCCCTCAAATTAGCTTGTATTCCTGCACGACAACCTTGCCTCCTTTCCTTTTTCTGATCCTGTCTCTTCCACATTTTCCTTAAAGAGGCTTTGCTTCTTTTCACCTCTGGAGCACCCTGCCGCCACCATCAACTCCTCCAAAAGCCTATGTCCCATCCTCTGGGTCTGCCAACAGCCTCATCCAGTTCCTTTGTTCCAAAAGCCCGAGGACTTTTCTCCTCTGCCTCCTTTGAAAAAAAAGCCCTAATTTGCAGTACAATCAGTCGCTGGGCCAGCAATCAGATCTTGCTGCCGGCAGAACAATTTCAAACAATGCCAACGACTTTTAACGGTCTCACCAACAGTTCCGAAACATTGCCATGTCGGCAAAGATTGTTGGTCATATGTTGTATGTTACCTTAGTTCCACCACATTGCTCAAACACATTAAAACTTTCCTGATCATGTGGCCTATATCCCTTAATATCCCTCCCAAAACTTTTCACCTTCGAGAGCCAATGCAACCGCAGCCGATCCAGGCGCCACCATCTTACAACTAATTAATTAACTAATGTTAATTGTAATTGTTTATGTAATATAGATTTATTTGTAAAACAGATATACTGAAATAGAAGATATATTCACTATTTGTAGTTTTAGGAGTGAACTGGGTCAGCCAGATTCCTGAGAAACCTCCTCCCCCTTGTTTTCTTCTGAAGTGCATCAGTGGTGTTAATACCGAATCTGGGCCTCTGGTTTCTGTCTCTTGTATAATAATTGTTGTGTAATTCTACCTTCCAGTATCCGATGTTATGCTGCAGAGACTGTAGTTGATAATTGTTGCTGTATAGAGGGTAGAGAATACATTGAGATGAATATAGGGCAGTCCTTGACTTATGATCACAATTGAGCCCAAAATTTCATTTTCTAAGCAAGACATTTGCTAAATGAGTTTTGCCCCATTTTACAGCCTTTCTTGCCACAGTTGTTAAGTGAATCACTGTAGTTGTTAAATTAGTAAAGCCATTGTTAAACAAATCTGGCTTCCCCATTGACTTTGCTTGTCAGAAGATTGCAAAAGGTGATCACATGACCCTGGGACACTGCAACTGTCCTAAATACATGCCAGTTGCCAAATGGCCAAGTTTTGGTCACATGACCATGGGGATGCTACAATGATTGTAAGTGTGAAAAATGGTCATAAGTCACTTTTTTCAGTGCTGTTGTAACCTCGAATGGTCACTAAATGAATGGTTGTAGGTCGAGGACTGCCTATTGTATAGCATGAGATGCTTCTGGTGTCTGTTCCTGGTGAACAGTGATGCAGAAAATCATTTGCCTGATCCTGAAAACAGGCAGGATTACGGCAAGATAGACTGAAATGATTGCCATGCTGATGTATAACATGGCACTTTTAAGTATCCAACGAATGAAGAGGAACAGGTGAATAGGATGGGAGCAATATGAATCATGCTGAGTATTTATAAAGTTACATAATCCAGCTCATAAAGGTTTAATGCAGACAATCTGTATCTTTGGCTCATATACGGAAGCTTTACAGCTTTTGGGAGAGATGAATGTATGAAATTAAAGGGAAATGCCATTGTCAGATTAAGAGTCTATTTTATAAACCACATATTTACATATTACCAAAGCTTAGGTGAACAGTGCTGTCTTAGTTATTAAAGTTGTAGTCCAAGATCTAAAATAAAGTTGGAGATTAAACAAAGCAAATCTATTAACCTAGTACCTTCTATAAAGGATAAAAAGGGTGAAGTGTTTTTGAAAGAAAAAAGCCAACAAAAAGGTCACAGCAAATTTTATGGCAGAGATCAAATGATGATCTTAAAAAGATGTTCAGAAATGCATATATTTCTATGAAAGAAAGAAAAAAATTAATCATGTTTTAATTTTCTATCTGACACTTTAAATATTACTTTTCTACTCTCCAAAAACCAAAACAATAAAATGCATTTTGGGGAGAAAATATTTATTTATCAATGTATAACCACATTTCTATCCAAACAGTCAAAGGAAGTTATGTGGTTTTTTATTCAATCTATATCTCAACTTTCCTTTAGGAGTTGAAGATGATGGAATAAGTTACCCTTCTCAAGATTTTTCTCAAAACTAAATCTAAACCATACAGTTCTCATCGGTTCTCTTGAACTAGTATTCAAAAGATTATGCAAATGATAAACATCCAATTTATAAATAAAAGAATAAAAACTGACAAGTATTTCAATGTATTTTTAGTACAACAAGAGTTCTTTCCTTATTAAAATATCCAAGTAAATAAATATTGACATTTAGAAGATACTAATTATATCTAATAGTTTGAATTCAGGCTTATAGATATACTAAAAATAGAACCAATAACAATGGTGAATACAAGACTAAGACTAAAACTAAGTATTAAGTATACGTAAGACTTATTTCCATAATGACAGTGGTATACACAAATTATTACGCAAGCAATTTTTTTTATCTAATGTATATGTTTTTTTAAATATTTTACAGCTTCAGCATAGAACCAAATTATGACTTTCTCTATATCTATGATGGGCCAGACAGCAATAGCCCATTAATTGGAAGTTTTCAAGATAGTAAATTGCCAGAGAGAATAGAAAGCAGTTCAAACTCAATGCATCTGGCTTTTCGAAGTGATGGATCTGTTAGTTTTACTGGGTTCCATTTGGAGTATAAAGGTTAGTAACTGTAATTCTGTTGTTAATGTGGGTCATAGATGTTGAAGCACTCAGTTACTTTACATTGCTTATTTGCATTAAGTCAAGTTTCATGTCATTTTGCTTATCTCCATTTTTAATTTTACCTTATTTGTGATTTGTTTAATTCTTATTTTATGTGAAATGGTTATAAGTAGTCCTCAACCTATGACAAACTGAGCCTGGAATTATGGTCATAATTTATTACTCTCATTAAGTGGGTCACCATTTAACTGGGCACTATTTTATGAACTTTTTTGTAGCATTATGTGAATTCAGTGGTCATTAAGCAAATCTGTTTTACCCAATCAGCATTTTTGTCCCAAAACTAGATATAAATTGCAGAAACCGCCAAAATATGCCAAAAATTATGGTCATATAACCATAAGACCCTGCAAATGACCATAAATGTGAGCCAATGCCTAAGTACCAAAAATAAGATTATATGATTGTGGGAAGGGGTTGCAGCAATTGTAACTCCAAAATTAGGTCATAAGTACTTTTTATGGGTCCCTTGTAATTTCAAACTGTCTTTAAGCAACTACTTGTAAAGCAAGGACTACCTATAAAAAACTCTTTGATTTTTTTTTTAAGCATGGTGTAGTGATATACTTAGGACCTGGCTGTTTTTGTTATTGTAATAAAAGCATATTACAATATTATAGCATTGTGCTGCAAACTCTGGCTCTTGTCTATGTGTCTATAGCTTCAAAACACACATAGAAAAGAGACATGCATTAAAGGGCTGCAACACTGCTTTTAGTGTTTCTCTGTTTTAAGTCTGAGCCTTATGCTGCCCCATAGACCTAACTGTTAAAAATAGCAGGGAAAAAATAATGGTGGGAAAGGAAAAAAAATGAAATACTCTATCCCTTATAAAAATTTTGATTACTTTGTTGTTGTTGTTTTTTTTTATGTTTTGAAGCAAAATTGGTGGTGAGAGAAAAGGAAGTCATTAGAGCATCTTAATCTTGTTTAGTACAAGAGAAATAAAGATTTAAGATGCTTTTGACATCTTCCTTTGCAAAGATTATTTTGGACTACCTGATGGAATAACATGTACTTTGAGAAAGAAATGATGCCTATAATTGTTTTGCTGGTTGTCTTGTATGGGCAAGCCATATTTTAAAAATTCAGTACATCAAATTAAATGTGGTGTTCTAACAGCAGCACTGTTTTCCCTCTGCTCAAATTAAAGCCAAGTTACGTGAGTCATGCTTTGATCCTGGGAATATCATGAATGGTACAAGACTTGGAATGGATTATAAACTGGGATCAACAGTCACATATTATTGTGATGCTGGCTATGTTCTTCAAGGATACTCTACACTTACTTGTATCATGGGAGATGATGGAAGACCTGGATGGAACAGAGCCCTACCTACCTGCCATGGTAAGATTTTGAGAAGAATTTTATCACCCATCCATCCATCCATCCATCCATCCATCCAAGAGGGTGATGCTTTTATGGATGCATGATGAATATATGACTTACATAAATATTCATATGAAGTATTGTTTTTTCTCCTTTGCTTGGTCTTTACACATGCTGTTATTGATTGCATCAGAGTTGTTCTAATGAATACAGCACCAAAGTATTCTCCTCCTGTTTTCCATTCAGTCCTCTGGACCAATGGGACAGAGAGGTTGGATACTAAGAAAATAATTGTACATATTCTCTGAAAAACAACAACAACCCTGATATTAGTTGAATGTCAGTGTTCTCACTGAAATTCAGACTATTACATCACAAAACACTCTAAAGCTGGACATCCAATGAAACTAGGCTTCAGGCAATTTTATATTTAATCAGAGCATTTTTAGTAGATAGCACTTAGACTGGTCAGTCATCAGAACTTTACTATCATCAGAAGCCTGAAGAAATGGATTTTGCATTGTACCAACTATCTAAATAGCTTTTTCAACATGCTGCCCACGATGATTACTTGAACTTCTACAATTATTTCATTATCTATCAGAACTCAAAAAAAAACACTACATATTATTTCATTACATATTGTAACTCAAAAGATTGAAGTTATGAAGCAACCTTAGCTAGGTATTCAGACATTTTTTATAAATCTATGTATATTTTAGGCAGGAAAGGGACTATGTTTATGAAGGTCAGTTTAAAATCATTTAATGGTTGCTGTGATTAATTTTGGAAAGAAACAGATTGAACGATTTAAAGTTCCCATGCAAAACTACATTTGTTTTCTCTTACTCACATTCTTTGGACTAGATTCCCTTTAAATTACAATTAAGGTATGAGCTGAGGTTTTAAAAAGGCCTTAAAACACTTCTTTTTCTTTGGACCTTTATGAAGGAAGCATTTTAATTTTCACAGCATTGCTTACTGATATAAGTTTGATGATGTAGGAATTACATGTTTTTAATTTATTATTTTAAAATTAGGGTATTGATTGTAATTTGTGATTCATATTGCTTTGCTTATAGAGCAAAAATACTACTATGAAATAAAGACTCTAGTTAATTTATTGCAAGAGGTCAGCAATTATTTCTAGCTCTAGGCAACATTGCAAAGATATTGATTTGGGTTCTATGGCCCCTTCTGACGGCTTTTCCTTGGAAGATGAGGATGAGCCAATGATCCCCAAAAACCCTGTCTCAAAAGTCCAGACCAATTTCTCTGGAGGAAATCATGAGCTGTTCGAGACTGTCAGGATTAAGAGTTAAATATCCAGGGATATTGCAAGAACATGCTGAGACTAATGAAAGGAAGACTAATAGAAATGTGGGATGAGGTGGGTTAGGGGCTTGAAAACTCTAATACAGAAAGCTTTCTATATTTGTTTTCTAGGGGAAAAATAAACCCTGGAATTGTTTATTGTGGTTTTGCCTTATATGCTAAAGACTAATTGAATTCATTCATTAGGGCACAGGTGTCAAACTCGATTGTGTCACATGACATATCGTGACTTTTTTGCCTTTGTGGAGCTGGGGTGGGCATGGCCTGCACATGACTCATCCAGCCTGTGCATTAAGGCCTCTGAACATTGGCCTGACTCTTTGTTATATAGCACTTAGCAATAGACTTAGACTTACATACTGCTTCATACTGCTTTATAGCCCTCTCTAAGCAGTTTACAAAGTCAGCATATTGCCCCCAACAATCTGAGTCCTCATTTTACTGACCTTGGAAGGATGGAAGGCTGAGTCAACCTCCAGCTGGTCAGAATCGAACTCCTGACAGTGAGCAGTGAGTTAGCCTGCAATACTGCATTTTAACCATTGTGTCACCATGGCTCATATACCATGCCTCATTTTCAGGGATTGCAATACAATTATTGGACTATCTTGGACTGGGGTTTGATTATACTTGCCCTATCCCCATTTCATAAAATATTTCAGATTTCAATAGAAGATAATGTGTAGCTCAGGGTTGAACTATGGAATCTGACTGCAGAGTGCAAACAACAACCAAGAAAGAACCAAGAATGTCACATATCTCATATTTTCTTGTTCTTTGTGATTATACAGAAAGCAAGAAAGGCATGTCCTTTGACCGAATTGCTAAGACTTGATAATCCATCATCTTTTAGCATTTTGATAGGATTAAATGAGATTTTATGTATTTTACAAGGATTGGTGTTTTTGCTGCCCTCTCCTAAGCAAATCTGTAAGTCTGTGACTTATGTGCTATGACATTCTGGTGCCACTGAATTTGTAGTTTTATGTAAGTACCTGACATTTTACTTCTGAATACAAAGAATAGGTTTCCACATGGCAGAATTGCCCTGATTAAATCAGCAGGTCAGGAGATGCAGCTGAATTGCAAAGAATCCAAGTAATAATCTATGGGTTCTAGACCGGAATCAACGACAATATCTACTTACTTTGAATCATCATGATCCATCAGTTGTACAGTAAACCAAATATTATCTTCATCAATTCAATATCTTATCGTAAAGTTTTGAGAAAGTGTATTTCCCTTGAAATTAAACTAAGGACTCAAAAAAGGAAACATATGTACTTTAAACATTTCTCCACTTTGCCTTTAGCTAATATCCTTATTTTATATGTCCTTGAAGCCTTTTTTATATGAAAGTGATACGAAGGAAGTCGATAGTCACATTCTATCATGAATGAATGCAAATATTAATCAAATAAATATACTGAATCATTTGACATTTAATGATAGCTGTTAAAAACAAAGTAATTAAGGTTTGCAGATTATATTTTTCACATAGGACAAAAGACAACATGTAATTTATTTGTCAGTGTCAACAAGTATACTTACCTTCAATCACACTATGTGGAGTTTTACCTTTCATGAAACTATTATTTATTGTTTATAAATTAGTATTTTATTGCTCAGTGTGGTGGAAAACCCATTTCATGCTAAGAAGAATTTACATCATTTTGCAATTCTTGCTGAGTCCAAGGCAAAAATGCCATACATTTTTCTTCCTTTTTTAAAATTAAGTCTACCATATGTTATTTATTTTTGAGAAAGAAGAAGAATTATCTTTGAGAGACTACCACTCAGAAGTGGCTGACAAGCATTTATTCTTGCAAATATGTACAAAACAGAAAGTATTCCTCATTAGACTTATAAAAAAATATCTCTGCTAACTGCTTATGGACGGCATTCTTAGGCAGAAAACATTGTAAATATAAATAATAACTCACCATCCAAGAACAAAGCATACATTGTAAAGTATATATTTTATGTGGGTATATGGTACAATTATTGCCAATCCAAGTCAAATCAAACGTTATTTGATATAGTTTTGATTTTGTTTTCCACATCAAGAAATAACTCAGCTTGTTTTTAAGAATGCTGGTTAAATTTTTTGATTTCCCTTTGAGCATAGTTAATATGCAAAACAGACTATATTAATTTACCATCATAGTTTATCTTTTCTCAAATAATAACAACTGCAACAGTAACCACAATTGTATATATTGAGATATGAATTAGGGATCTGTGCCTACAAAAGTGGTTTATATCTACTCCTTTCGTCCTCCCTTGTTTACAGTTTGTCTGAACCAAACCATTTGTGTTTTGGTGTTTGCACAAAAATGCAAACTTTTCCTATACAAAATTATCCAAAGGGTACAAAGACAGATAACTGATGCATCTACCACAGTGGTTCTCAACCTTTTTAATGCCACGACCCCCAACTGGTCGTAAGTCGAGGACTACTCAACCGGTCGTAAGTCAAGGACTACTCAACTGGTGCAGCACCGTTTGCAGAATGGGACTTTTGGCGGGCTCAACAGGGCAGAGACAGCCTGGACAATTCCAATAGCCAATAGAATTAGATTCTATTCAAGAGAGTCTATTCTATTGGCTTTCAAAAGCCAGTAGAATAAAAGGGAGTAGCACAGCTAAGGAAAAGGGGGAAAAAATGGCGGACTGCGTTGTTTGGCGACCCCCGTGAAATGGTTGTTCGACCCCAAATGGGGTCCCGACCCACAGGTTGAGAACCACTGATCTACCAGGAAATGAAGGATTCCATCAAATCCTTTCCTTCTACTTTCTTTAGGGTTTAATGAACGGGGTGGATGAATTAAGAGTGTGATGGGAGTGAATAAATATTTGCTTGTTGCAGTAGAATAGTGCAGAGCAGGGGTCTCCAAACTTGGTAACTTTATGATTTGCAGGCTTCAACTTCCAGAATTTCTCATGGCTGGCTTAAAGTTGCCAAGTTTGAAGACACCTGATATAGAGTAAAAGATTCCTTTAGTTCGCTTTAAACTCTTTGCTCAATAGAGAGGAACAAAAACTACTACTACAAAATCTCCTTTTCCCAGATTTACAGAAAATGAATAATCTTTCACCGTGGGATAAAAAAGATTATTTCTACACCAGGAATCTTCAAAATTGGCAACTTTAAGCCAGCCATGAGAAACTCTTTGCAAATACAACTGAAACATAAGCTGATTAGAAGAGAAGTTATACACTGAGGTTAATGTTATTTGTATAAATGCTAGAAAAAATCTTTACATTTAACTTTGTATGTATTTAAAGTACTAAGAATTGTATTTACTCAAAGTTGGCAAAAGGAAAATACTATTGGAAGAAGAGAAGATCAAGAAAATGTGTCACTAACTAGTATGTTGATTATGGAATCATAGAAACTAACTATTATTGATTGTTGTTAAACCAAGACAATATGTTGTTTAACAAGCACTAAAGATTGTTATTGTAAAAAATTAATAAAATATATTTAGAAAAGCATATTATTAGCAATTACAAGTGCTCTGCAGTTTGCAGAGATATTTTTTATAAGTCTAATGAGGAATACTGTCTGCTTTGTACATATTTTCAAGAATAAATACTTGTAACATAATGGGTAGAGAACACTGAATTAGCATATGTGCAAATATGTTTATTTAATACATTTAAGGACAATTTATTTCAAGGCTTTTTAAAGAATAATGTTACTGAGTGACAATTTGCATAGATTTGTACTTTGAGGTTCATAATAAAATATTGTACCATCTATGCTGGCTAAACTTCTCTGCTGCAGTTAGGAATAAAATAAGTATTATGCTAAAATATTCCTGAGCTCAACTTTATTTGAAATTGATACTTTCACATAAGACTGAGCCACTAGATAATGTAATTAAAGCTTTATTATTGTTCAATTTTATTGCAAATTCCATATGTAATTTGATACAAAGTACTGCTTTGACGTTGTGTTGAAAAATCTAATAGAATTTGCATATCAAATTTACTTCATTTAGAAATGCATGCTTATGAAAATGCTTTTCTTAGTCTCTTCCTCATTTTACACTTTATGGAAATGACCTTGTATGTATCTAAATTCTAAGAATTTTATTCAATATGTATTTAGTAATGGATATTAAAAGAAAATAAATCAATATTTATGTGTTCCACAATCTGAATTTCAGATCTACTGATTTTCTAGTTTTGTAGGACTATAACTTTTAAACAACAAAGAATTGTAGTATGGTATATATTTTCCATATATACCCTTCATAAGATTTGATAGAAATAAATTATTTGGGAATAAATTGAATAAACAAACACCAGAAAGAAATACTCCATATGTGTTCATTCAAATTCATGGGATGGTGGAATTCATTTGCACTCAAGTAGGCTTTAGATGATGTAATGCCACTTCCTGGTCTTTATCCTGCTCTTCACCTCTCCATCCTGTCTCTCCATAGACCTCCAATGTGGCTGGCTGGGGAATTCTGGGAGTTGACCTCTATCCACCTGAAAATTGCCAAGGTTGAGAAATATTGCTAAATACCTACATTTACAAGTCAATACAGTAGTCTTTGACTTTCAACCATTTGTTTAATGACCATTCAATGTTATGACAGTCATAAGTTGAAGATTACCTGTAAAGCATTCTAAGAGCATTCCTTGTTCTGGCTATCAAACCTGACAATAGCATTGCAATAATTAAAAGGATTTATTTGTTTGTTTATTCATAAAGTGAAAAAAAATCTACATGAAATATGTGATTTAATCCATTGGTTTATTTTTGAAGGTAGACTTTATGTATTTTGCTTATTTGTTAACTCTACGTTTTCCTACCATGTTGTGAAATAAATTGTTTTTTACTTTGTAGCACCTTGTGGAATACGTTCCACAGGTTCTGAAGGAACTGTTTTATCACCAAACTATCCTAAAAACTATAGCATAGGACATAACTGCATTTACTCCATTGCAGTTCCTAAAGAATTTGGTAAGTAGCAGCTTTTTTTCCCTTTTATAAATTGTATTGATACCATGGAGAAATCTATATTATATATCTGAAACCTTCATTCAAACATATAACTTCTCAAAGAAGATATTGAATTCATTTTACCACATTATTTTTATAAAACATTTTGCAGTTAATATGTCAGGACTCTGGTTACTTAAACGCAGCATATGTTAAACCAGAACTGCAACATGCATATGTTTGAATGATGAGAGAAATAGTATTATAAAAATGTGTATTGGATAACATCTAACACAGATTAATCTATGAGAATTTATGAAGAAGAAAAGGAAACTAGACTCATATAGAAAATTACCATTCAATAGTTCAATTTTAATTTCAGTTACTGAAAAACTGTCTTATATGTTGTGTCTCTGAAGCAGTGGGAACAATCTGCCCTGGGTGCAAGCAACTTGGAGATATATTATCTGAGGATAATAATCAGTAGTATCTGTGGAGTTAGTTGTATCAGTGCACTGGCTAGTTGTTCGACATGGGATAGAAATGGAGATAAATAAGGGTGGGCTAGTGGTGGTACGGTTAGGCAAGTCTGGATCTTGCAGCTGCTACTTAACCCCCTGATCTTCTCTGAGTGTCAAATATGCTAGGTACTCCACTGTGTCACATATAATGTTGGGTGCTTGAAACTGAATAGCAGGATCTAGTGATTCCATTTTGCTTAGACTCCAGTTTCCTAGTAAGGTGAATATTTTCTCACAAAGTGGTGTCTTCAGGGATTTTGGAGTTCTGGAAAGCTGATTGTGACCTGTTCAATGCATAGCTACTAACTTTAAATATTACATTTTCACAGCATACAGTTATAAACACAAAGCAAATGGCTATTGAGTGGGATTCTGAAAATTCACATTGCTAAGAATTGGAGCTATGTTGAATTTTTCAATGTGTTGTTCTAACCATCCAGCTAAAAGTTATTTACAGTATTTTGTAAATGACAAAATAGCGTAATGTATATTCTTCTGAAAAAGTTGCTATTAATAAATATGGCATTTCACAGGTTTGATTAACTGATTCATATCAAAGTAAAGTCATATATCCCAAAAATATCTACTACAGCAATCATTGGCTTGAAATGTGGGCAAAATGGGATGATTATAGCCTTTCAGTTTTTATATGTAACATTGATCATCCAATCACACCCATCATTATGAAAACAGTAGCAGTTGCTTAGGACATTCTGATGTCTCCTGCTAATCAAGTCGAGCACTTGGTGACTTCCTAATGAAATTTCTATGTAGTTTTGCTGGTAGAAATACTGACGTATTTTGTCATTATCCATTCCATCTCTTCTTGTTTTCAATTTTCTAGCCAAGTCTATGTCCCTAACTTTGGGTTTCTAAAGGTGGATCCCCTATCTACTAGGTTAGCCTAGAAAAGCTGAAAGCCTGAGTAATAATTTGGAGGTTGACATTCTGGAAGTTTGAATAATGAAAAATAAATATATGCTTGATGTTTTCCCTTCTTTTTGGTGTGTACATGTATAGTTTGTAGGCATGGACTTGTGTACTAAACTTTTGGTATGTTCTCTCAAAGTAATCTTTTTAAAAATATATAAATCATTTCAGAAAAATCAAAATTCATGTTTTATGAGCAAAATTTGAATGCAATGATCTATCAGAGTGTTAAAATGTGTTTATATAACATATTTTACAGGAAAATTCACATATAATAAAAGATACAAAATTTGTTTACATATATTAGAATAGAAATGCATGCAAAGAAGCATTGTGTGTTTGTGGGATGTTTCAAAATAAGTGGTATACATAAAATAATGAGTTTTTTCTCTTTTTCTCATCCCTTTTTCTATTTCTGATTTTTTTCTGTTTTTCTTCAGTTCTGCCTCTGTCTCATTTATCTTTATTTCTTGGAATTGTCTTGCTCTTGTTTGCCTTTGATCACACTGATGCTTTCTCAGAGTTTTGTCATACTTCATGTAACTATGGAGTTACCTTAATTCAGTGCAAATGCTTTGTTTGATAAGCTGATTTCTTATTCTTTTGATTTCTTCTCTGGATTTTTTTTCTATTTTCCAATTTCTTGTCCTTCAAACTATTTCCCCTCCTTATATGCATTTTCCATAACCTTATGCAAGGGATTTTAAAAAGTAAGCTGTATTCTTTACTTTAGTTGTGAAATAAAATTCATAGTTAGAGATGTCTTTTGCAGACAGTAACTGTGGAATGCTGCTATCTGAAGCTTTTTTTTTTTTTTTAGGGCTGTGTGAATTTTGTTAGTTTGGATTGTTCTTTTGTCTCTGTGAATCCTGTCACACAAAGTCTTTACTGCATAACTGCTTATTGTATGATACTATTTTAATTTCAGTTACTGAAAGCTGTCTTAGATTTTGTGTTCCTATAAATCAGTGCCAATGCATTGCAAGTTTCTTCTTCACAATCCTAGATATTCAACACCATTTATGGGTTTCATATGGATAAAACTTCATTTCCAGCAAGTTGATCTGAAGTCTGTGAGTCTCTCTTATCAACAGAAATTGTATCTGTAAATGACTTTTTAGCTCATGTTTCCACTAGGCCAGCTCCATGCCAATTTTGTTAGCACTGAGGTTTGACGTCCGTGCAATATTTTAAAGAATTTCCTGGGTGAGGGAAGAAAAATATCCACTGCAAGATTTATCTGGCATCTTAAATATACAAATGGTTTTTAGGGTTCTGTTGCAAAGGTTTGCTCTTTGAAAAACCATTTTCCCCCAAATATTTTGCAAAATAACAAATGCACACAAATATACATTTTTAGCAACCTGCACTTGTGTGGGTATAATTTACACAACTGGTTTAGAATAGTCTATATGACCGAACCTCCAGAAGGGGATCTTATTTATTCCCCTTTTTGGAATCTGAAGGAAAAGAGTGTTGGAAACTCAACCATTATTAGCAAGTTTGAAGTAGAAAAGAGAGCATTGCTGCACAGCATTGTCTATGGATAGCTGTGGATAGTTCACATTCAGCATGTTCACTAAACTGAGGGTGTTTTCTGTGAACAATTTACCTATAGGTATATTAATAGACTGAAAATGAGATGATTGGGCTTTCAAGGCAGAAAACAATAGACCTAAGCCAAGGCAATTACCACAAAGGAATGTGGGGGGAATAAAACTCAGGGTTTAAACTTAGGAATATACATATATGAGCAGAATCTTAGAGCCAAAGAAACTAATTTTTGTGGCTTTATAGGCTATTTGTATTTGCAATAAAACACTTGTTTTATTTCCAGCTGAGCACTTGGCTAGAGTTGCATTGAAAAAGCCTGTGAATGCAGTTGGTACTCCTAGAAAGATATTTACCATGACAACAGAGTATGTTCCAATGTAACAATCACCAATCACCAAAATATCAATATGGCTGATATTTTCTTTACTTCAGAATCCTAAAATTTGGCTGAGATGTATTCAAAATCAGCATCTCTCTTTGTATATGTTGAACATAGCTATATTTGTCTATATATCCTGGCATACAGTACAATGCCTATTCATTTTATTAATTTATGATTCAGTATATTATATAATCCCAGGAAGTGAGTAAAGTTAGAAACCTAATTAAGCCAGATGTGTAAACTCAGACATTCTATTTTCACTAAATCAGAGTATAATAGAACCTTTTGTGTCTAGATGTAATTATGAAAACATTGAATTTAAATAATCCTCCCTTGACTTGATTAACCTTGACTTCAAAACTGGAAAAACTAGAGAAATCCAATAATATTTTGAAATCATCCTATTTGATTTATGTTTTTATGGTTTTAATTTACTGCTTGCACTGAATAATAAAAGACAGTAGCAGTGAAAAACCAGTATATTCCAAAATATAATAGTAAAATACAATTCAGCATTCATTCAGCCATGAATACAGTAAATAATATATAACATAGTTGTATAAACAAGAAACCTATAAAATCAATAACTATTCCAGATAACTAAACTTAAAGAAGCTATTTTCCTAGTATGTTATTAGTGACATTTATATAAAAGGTGTAATAAAAATACTAGCAATATAGTATATTTACTTTTTTTTGTAAATAACCACCTAATTAACTAAAAGTCCAAAATAGTAATGTTGCAAACCTCCATTTTTAATGTTAATATTTAGGTATTTTAGTTTATTATATGGTTTAGAATATAGAGTACTAGGGTACTGTATTCTCACAAATCATTATGTAATTAACCTCTTTTGATATCTAAGGCGATATAGCAGCATTTAGCAACACTCAAAAAGTGTATCAATTCTATCAAATAGAAGATGCTAGAGATAAAACGAGTCTAGTGTAACATGCAATTAATGCTGATTAATAGTGTGTTAGTTTTCCTGCTACAGGGTCACTATGAAAAAAAAAAAAGAACACTGGCTTCATTTTTAATACTTTCACATACTTCTAATAGGGCCAACTCAAATTATAAGAAGGAAGAAGATTTGTCTATTAGGTTCTCTGTAACACTGAATTTTAGAGTATCATTCGTGAGGATTCTTTATCTAGAATGACAGGATGATATAAATTGCATTGATGGAAATAGGTTTTTTCCCCCTTTTTTCCTACAAAGAACAGGCCTCAAATCTTTTGTAAAAAATGAAAGTGAGCTTACATGGCATTTTGAGGAACCCCGCCAAATATGAGTGGGGAACCACAAATTTTGTGGAGTAGGAAGCAGTTTCTAAAGGGGAAAATATGGTCTTTAATACCCAATTTGCCCTTTATCTTTCCTCATAACATTAAAAAAAATGCCAAAAAAGAAAAAAAAAACGATTAAACTCTGTCTCTAGATCTTCTGATAGTTACTTGCACTAGGCTACCTCTGTTTAATTCTTTAGCTTTATATGTGTGTGTGTGTATGTGTGTATATATGTATGTATGTATATATATATATATATGTTCAATAATGCAATCTTCGATCTCCGGGAAGAGTATAATCTAGTTATTTATTGTTAAAACAATATTTAAAACAATAAAAACAG